CCAAGCTCCAAAGGGGCCCCGGCCCGCCCACTCTTTCCCGCTCTCTTCTGCGGATCCCAGCAAGGACTGGCGGGGCCCTTCGGGGGCGGGAGCCATCAGCGTTAGTGCGCAGCTGATTTCACATCCATTGGACTCACAGAAATCCCTCTCCGGTGTCCCCCTGCAGCACTGCCATCACCCCTTCGCTAGAGATGCGAAACTTGCTTGACAGGTGTGATCGCTCTGATCGACAGCAGTATGTGGAGAGGCTGGGGTCCCCCCATCCCCACCCCCCACTCCTCTCCCCTTGGTGTTGAAAGGGGACCTGGAGCTCAGCGCCTGTTGCTTTCCACGGGTGCTGGGAAGGCAGAGCGAGCTGCGATGGGAATCCACCTGATGGCTTTTAGTCCCAGCCCCAGCTCCGCCTGCCCGCTGGGCACCAGTGTAATTCCTGCTTCCCCCAGAGATCAGACCCGCTCCGTGTGTCCGACCCCCCAGAGCGGAGAAATCAGAATAATGCAGATCCCAAGGCCAGAAGGGATCATAGAGAGATAATCTCATCTACCTTCCTCTAGACCAGCCTAGAGACTTGCCCCCAAATCATTCCTAAGAGAGCTTTTAGAAAAACATCCCATCTTGATTTAATAATGGGCAGCGAGGGAGAACCCACCAGAACCCGGGTACATTGTTCCAGTGGCTAATTACTTTACAATAAAAGGGACTTGAGTTTGTTTTCTTTGTAATGATGTTTCTGCCACCATACCCAGGCAGGCAACTAGTGGAGTGAGACCGGAATCCAGGGGAAGAGGTGAATGAGCCAACAGAGCCAATGGCTTATCCGAGCGTTAATGTCAGGATTTGGGTTGCACCAGTTGCTGAGCAGCGGCTCTTTAACCAGCATTTCAGCCAGGAGCATTTCTAGTTTGTGCATTTCAAAGTCTGCCTTTGCTGCAGAAGAAAGCCGAAGAAAACCCAGCCAGTGACCAATCTCTGGTCATTATTCTGAACACCGCGTTGGGATTCCGAGGGGAGAACCAGGAGGAGTTTTTAGTCTTTCAAGGAGGCTCTGCTGCTATTTTAGGCTGAAGGGATGTAGCACTAATTAGTGACAGCACAAGCTAATCACCCTATTAAACTAGCCAGACCCAGCCTGAGAATGGCAGGGCTGGACTTTGAAAAGTGCAGCTACAAATGATCTCAAAGCGGGAAGTGAGACCAGTGCCCGCAGATCAGCCAGACACGGGGTGAGGGTTTCTCTCCTGTGTTTGGAGTTATGCTGACAAGCTCCCCCAGCTCGGAGACAGAAAACACCACCTGGCTGGGTCCAGGCGAGGCAGCGCCCGTGCTTCTGAAAGCGGCTCCGCGTCAGATGGAGATTTCAGGTGCAGGACTGGATAGAAAGGGGGGGCTTGTGGGTGAAGCTCTTGACTGGAGCTCTGGTGAGCAGCAGTCAGTTCCTGCCTCAGCTGTGAATTCCCTGCCCGTCAGTCAGTGCCTCAGTTTCCCACCTGCGTGTCTCGCGCCCCGTGACTTTAGAATAGGAACCCTTCCCAACTAGAGCTGGGTGAATATTGGCAATTTTGAAATTAAAAAAAAAATTCAAAAGGGAACAAAAAAGCTGAGATTTCAAAGTGTCCCTTGGAGCAACAATGCTGAGAAAGCGTCGGTTCACAACCCTCCTATTGTTTCATTTTCATCCTGGAGGTTTAGTTTGGTTTTGCGGTCACCTTTTATGAAATATGACGCAGTACTAAGTTGGCCACAGGAACCGACATGATAAAAATGTCACCGAAATCTATATGCTGCTGCCAAACATTTTGATTGTGACAAAACTGGGGTTTTGGGACCGAAAACGGTTTGTCAAAAAACCAACAACAAAAAACTCTCACAGCACCCCTGCAAGCAGGGCAGTGCCATGGCTCCATCCCCAAGGCTCAGAGGAGCTGCTGAGGTACAGAGAGATTAAGTGACTGGCCCAGGGCCACCCTGGCAGTAAGTGATGAAGAAGGAACCGAACTAGACTGTTCTTCCTCCCTAGTCTGCTAGAAGCTCTTCTGGGCAGGGACCGTCTCTCACTCTGTGTGTGTGTCTATGCGGCAAGTGCTCCAGCTGCAGGTGTGCTGGGTAGTGTAGACTCTTACTACAGAGACAAAAGGGGACAAGGGGTTTCCCCCTTGCTCTAGTAAATCCACCCCCATGAATGGCAGTAGCTGGAAGAATTCCTCCATCGACCTAGCTGCATCTGCAGTGCGGGTTATGCCAACCGAACTACAGCACATGGGGTTTAAATAGGCTCCGAGATCTTCCATTCCAGCGCTGGAGATGGGTCACTTTGGGTGAGGCACTGGGCTCTATGTCAGGGATCTCCAGGTGAAATGACCTCGAATTGGCACCACGATCTCTGCTCCAGCCCCTGCACTGACAGACCAGCTTTGAAGCTGGTCTGACTAAATGGGGGATTTCAGCCTGGATTCTTTATTCAGCTTTGAACCAAATTCCTGGAGTAACCTTCACTGTGGCGCCACTGGCGGTGGCTGCCTAATTGATCGTTTCTGTGGTGTGTGTCCGGTCGTTTCTAACCCCCAGCAAAAATCTGGTCCACGTTAAAGACTCCGCTTCTGTTTCCTTCTCTGCCATACACTCCCTGTGTCCCTGAACAAGTCACTTAGTCTGGCTGGGCCTCAGTTCCCCCTTTGTCAAATGGGAATAACAGCACTCCCCACCACACAGGGATGTGGTGAGGCTTGGCTACTGTGGTGATGGAAGCCATAAAATTACCTAAGATAGAAAAATACATGATCACAGTGTGTCCCTGCCTCAGTTCCCAATATGGACTTACCAACCTTCTAGAAGTGTTGCGAGGATCAGTATGTTACAGATAGCACGGTAATGGGCAGCATTAGGAGAGATCGATAGAGTGGGAAAGGAGGTGATACCAGTTTGCCTGTTACCTTGGGATACGCTCATTTATTCGGGTTACTCTTGGAGAGGAGTGGGGGTTCTGTAATTCTATCAATGTACTGCTTGTGTCACTTGTGTTTTCATATGGAGATCTACTCCTCCCTTCTGCAAGTCCCCTCCCAGTGGAGCTATCCTGCAGGACCTAGGTTCCCTAGGATTGGGTTTCTCCAGCCCCAGAACCGGATGAACACACACACCCCCACACATACATTAACAGAGCAAGTCTGAGCGGACCGGGTCAGTCAGCACTGTCAAGCTGATCCCTTATGTGTCTCTGGACTCACTGGGCTGGAGGAAGCAGAACTTTCAAGCTGCCTCTCCTTATATGCCCCTGGGCTCCATGGACTGGGTCAAGCAGCACTTTCAAGCTGTTACCCTTATGCATCCCAAATTCAGCACGTCCCTATCCCCACTCCCCCAACACAATTGTACTGGCAGTAACCTACTCGATGAGCAAACCCCACAGTATTTTGGGCGCTGCAGGGATCTTTAGCTTAGGTAAAAGAAGCGTTGCTGTGGAGTGAATGGGGGAAGCTAAAAACACAAAAGAGTGAAGTTCAGCAAAAGAGAGAGAAGTAACCAACTTAACCATAAAAGTTATTTATTGAATAATAGTGATAACTACACAAGGAGAGCTAAACCAACAGAACATACATTATTAAAGGTTAATACCTAAGTTAGAAAGGAAAACGAAGAGAGAGAGAGAGAAAGAGAAGGGGGTCTCACCGCTCCCTGAAGCTTGAACTGGTCGGGGTTCCCAGGTGTTGGTGGTAGCTCAGGGTCCTGAGTGCTGGAGATAGGCAGAGCCCCCAGCACGGTCAGTCAGGAGAACATGGATTTCCAGTGGAACTGATGCATAGTTTGGATCTAAGCATCAGAACCCTGACTAGAGGGTGAGTAGGGATTTTTGTAGAGAAAATACAATGGTTCAAGGGAGAACACTAGATTTGTTTATAGGTAAGCTGATGACTCAAGGGTTTTCTTTAGGCTAGACAATAGGAGCTGATCACTCTTGGCTATGGGTGGTGTTTTCTTCCAGGGAGCTCACAATGCAACTAGGCTGCTTCAGTATTTGGATATCAATTAAGGATTCATGACTAGAATTGGTCTGATAACTGCTGAGCTGGGTGTGTGTGCAGGCATAGGTTCATTAGCATCTGGAGCAGAGATTCCCATGATGCAGTGCTTCCCTGCTTTTTCTGGTCCCAGAATTCAGTGTGGTTCTCTATTCTCCATTCTCTATGCAAATGGAGATGTTTTAATCTTGTCACCCTTGTCAGGAGGGGTCTAGGTGTGTCTCCCAATGCCCTTCACTGCTCTCTGCAAGTTTTTTTCCTCTGATGGGTTTTGGTTTAAGCAGAGGATGGGGGGTGGGGGTGTCTTTCGTGAGTCAGGCTGGATACTGCACCCTGGTTCCCCAAGAACACAGAGCTGACTGGTATCAGAGGAGAGACAGAAACAATGGCTGGAAAGTTAATCAATATTCCCAGCTGGAAAGGGAATGTACACGCTCCAGACCAGGGAAGATTTGTGCGTGTGTATCTCTGGAGTGATTGAGTCTTGCTCTGGGTGTTTGCGCTGGTGCATGTATCCTTTTTGGCTGTTCTTGAGGGAAATGAGACCGGGTTTGACATGTGGGTGAATGTGGCTGGCGACGGAAAGATCACGGCAGAGAGCTTTTCAAATTATTTTCGGGTTACTGTACTGAATCCCCTGCACTTTGATTGTAGAAGGCCAAACTCTTCCTTACAGGGATACAAGATCGTGGTGTGTGTGTTGCACATGTTGGTCCTTTTACTTTTAGTGGAAAGATGGGATGAGAAAGTCCGCAGGCAGAATTTACACGGCCTGCACTAAACCGTCAGGGGTGAAATCGTTTCAGCACCTGAGTTTTCACTGGTTTCTACCTCATCATGAATTTTCACCATGTGCGAGTGAAAACAGAGGCTGTCCCTTTTCTGTCATCTAGTGGAAAGGTGGGTCTCCTGCTTTTCTAGACAGACAAACTACAGCGTCATGGAGGCCTGAATGTCTGTGCAGGCTCCGCTTCCCCTTTTTGTTCAGCTCCCTGCTTTGCTCTGTGTCGCTATCTCTCTGGCACAGTAATACGTGGCGGTGTCTGCAGCTGTCAGGGAGCGGAGCTGCAGGGAGACTTGGTTCTTGGAGGAATCTACCATGATGGTGATCCTGCTTTGAAGGGATGTGGCATAGCTTGTGCCTCCATCTTTAATTACATAAGAACATAAGATTGCCCCTAATGGGTCAGACCAAAGGTCAATCTAGCCCAGTGTCCTGTCTTCTGACAGTGGCCAGTGCCAGGTGCCCCAGAGGGAATGAACAGAACAGAAAATCATCAAGTGATCCACCCCCTGTCGCTCATTCCCAGCTTCTGGCAAACAATAATTATATATCCCATCCTTTCCAGCCCTTTCCTGGGACACTGCCGGATCCAGTTCCAGTAGCAACAGCCACTAGAAATGTTTCCACTGCAATCTCCAGAGACGGCGCAGGTCAGGGTGAGGGTCACTCGGGGCTTCGCCGCTCCTGGGCCGGACGGGACCAGCTGAACTTGCTAGTGGAAGTGACTGGAAGATAGCTAATGTGACACCAATATTTAAAAAGGGCTCTAGAGGTGATCCCAGCTGTCAGGGTGCCGACTCACCCCTGCGGCGCCTCCTGCTGGTCGTCTGGGGCAATCAGCTCAATCCAGCCTCCAAAGCGCCCTCTGCAGGCCGGTGATCCGTCTTACCGTTTCTGGCCCCCGTGTCCCTCCCAGGACCCCGGTGCCCTTATCTGGGGGGGCTGCCCCCTGGCAGAACCACATTCTCTGGGTTTCCCTTCCCCAGGGAACCCCCACCCACTATCCCTAGCTCGCCTCAGAATAAGGCCACTGCCAGTCACCAACTAGCCCCCACTCCCTGGGGCAGACTGCAGTAAAGGCCACTCATCACAGGCAAGGTCGGGTTTGGACCTGCTACCTTGGCCTAGCCCTGGGCTGCCCTCTGCAAACCCCAGTACCCCTTGGCCTTCTCCTAGGCCGCAGCCTGGGGCTTTCCAGGCTGGAGCTCCTCAGCCTTTCCCCAGCCCTGCTCCACGCAGGTACCCTGTCTCCCTGCAACCAGGCCCTTCTCTCTCTGAGTGCAGAGAGAGAGACTGTGTCTGAGCTCCTGGCTCCCTGCCTTTATAGGGCCAGCTGAGTATGTTTGGGGCATGGCCCCAGCTGCCGCCACTTCCCCCAATCAGCTCAGCCTTCAAGCTGCCTGCTCCCTGGGCTCTCTCAGGCCCTTCCAGGCAGGAGCAGGTGTCCACCCTGCTACACCAGCAATTACAGACCGGTAAGTCTAACGTCAGTACCGGGCAAATTAGTTGAAACAATCATAAAGAATAAAATTGTCAGACACGTAGAAGAACATAAATTGTTGGGCAAAAGTCAACATGGTTTCTGTAAAGGGAAATCGTGTCTAACTAATCTATTAGAGTTCTTTGAAGGGGTCAACAAACATGTGGACAAGGGGGATCCAGTGGACATAGTGTACTTAGATTTCCAGAAAGCCTTTGACAAGGTCCCTCACCAAAGGCTCTTATGTAAATTAAGTTGTCATGGGGTAAGAGGGAAGATCCTTTCATGGATTGAGAACTGGTTAAAAGACAGGGAACAAAGGGTAGGAATAAATGGTAAATTTTCAGAATGGAGAGTGGTAACTAGTGGTGTTCCCCAAGAGTCAGTCCTAGGAACGATCCTATTCAACTTATTCATAAATGATCTGGAGAAAGGGGTAAACAGTGAGCAGGGCCGGCTCCAGGCACCAGCATTCCAAGCATGTGCTTGGGTCGGCAAAAAGCCTGGAGCCGGCCCTGACAGTGAGGTGGCAAAGTTTGCAGATGATACTAAACTGCTCAAGATAGTTAAGACCAAAGCAGACTGTGAAGAACTTCAAAAAGATCTCACAAAACTAAGTGATTGGGCAACAAAATGGCAAATGAAATTTAATGTGGATAAATGTAAAGTAATGCACATTGGAAAAAATAACCCCAATTATACATACAATATGATGGGGGCTAATTTAGCTACAACTAATCAGGAAAGAGATCTTGGAGTCATAGTGGATAGTTCTCTGAAGATGTCCACGCAGTGTGCAGCAGCAGTCAAAAAAGCAAACAGGATGTTAGGAATCATTAAAAAGGGGATAGAGAATAAGACTGAGAATATCTTATTGCCCTTATATAAATCCATGGTACGCCCACATCTTGAATACGGCGTACAGATGTGGTCTCCTTATCTCAAAAAAGATATACTGGCATTAGAAAAAGTTCAAAAAAGGGCAACTAAAATGATTAGGGGGTTGGAACGGGTCCCATATGAGGAGAGATTAAAGAGGCTAGGACATTTCAGCTTGGAAAAGAGGAGACTAAGGGGGGATATGATAGAGGTATATAAAATTATGAGTGGTGTGGAGAAAGTGAATAAGGAAAAGTTATTTACTTTTTCCCATAATATAATAACTAGGGGCCACCAAATGAAATTAATGGGCAGCAGGTTTAAAACAAATAAAAGGAAGTTCTTATTGACACAGTGCACAGTCAACTTGTGGAACTCCTTGCCTGAGGAGGTTGTGAAGTCTAGGACTATAACAGGGTTTAAAAGAGAACTGGATAAATTCATGGAGGTTAAGTCCATTAATGGCTATTAGCCAGGATGGGTAAGGAATGGTGTCCCTAGCCTCTGTTTGTCAGAGGGTGGAGATGGATGGCAGGAGAGAGATCACTTGATCATTACCTGTTAGGTTCACTCCCTCTGGGGCACCTGGCATTGGCCACTGTCGGCAGACAGGATACTTGGCTGGATGGACCTTTGGTCTGTCCCAGTATGGCCGTTCTTATGTTCTTATGTTGGATGCCTGGGAAGTGGGGAAAATGATTATGGGTCTTATCATTCTTACCCCAGTTTTACTCCATATACCTCAAGTTTAGGATATGCAAGTTCCCTGAGTTCCCCAGAAATACTCACAAGTCAGGGCAGATAACAGTAAACTGAAAACCCATAGTGACTCCATGATTCGTTAGGGCAGCACTCAGTCAGATATCACCATCTGAGCTGCGAGAACCTGGGGTTTGTATTTAAACAGGAGCCCACCTAGAAGCAGTGATTTGCATGCGGGTTTCACTGGGGGGATATAAGAGAAGGCAAGGAGCTGTCTGTGTGTCTGGGGATCTCCCCCTGGGACATGACTACACACCATACAGCAGAGTATTGGAGAAATACATCCTCCCACTAGCTCAATCTGAATTAACGAAGGCCTTGGCCAGAGACCAGAGGACAGAGTGTAAAAGCCACACAGGAGGCAGTGTGGTCTAGTGGGTAAAAGCACTGGATTCTATTATTGTCCATACTGCTGGTGACCTTAGGCAAGTCACTGCTCTGTCCTTCTGTTTCACCATCTATAAAATCACCTCCTTTGTGAAGCACTTTGAGATCTAATTTTTACCCTAAGAAATCATGAAAAGTGCCCTATAAGAGGTATTACTGTTGTTATAGATCACTTTGTCTGAATGCAGCCGATTCATTCCTGTCCAGTCTTTTCTTTTCTTTTCTTTCTGTCTAGTTGTGTGATTATATTTATTCTTTTACAAATAGAAAGAGGGGGATGTATTTAAACAGATCACTAGAATTATTTCCTTCATTTGTTTTTCCTTAGAAACATGGAGGCAATTCTGTTTTGCAAAGTCAATTCTGAAAGACAGGAAGAAGCAGATGTCTAAAGGTGCTAAGGTGCCTGCAAGTTACCTTCAAAATATCCAAGGTGCCCAACACCCCTTGATTTCAATGGGGAAAAGGCCCCTGTTTGTGTTTTGAGAATCCCACCAAGCACCTAACTATCTTTACAAATGTGGCCCCAAATGCATTGGGCACATGCAGCTCACCTTGATTTCAATTAGATTTATTGGGTGACCAGCACTTCTACAAAGGATATAACCTCTCCATATTGGATTTTCTAAGGAGCCTGAGTAATTTAGGAGGAATTCCTTTGACTTTCAATGTCACTAAATCACTAGGAGACATACTTACAAGGTATTTAGGTGCCTAAAGATGTGATAGATGTCCAATGGGATTTACAAAAGTCTTTAAGTGAATTAGGTACTTAAGTCCCATTGATTTTCATTGGGAGTTAGGCGTCTAAAGTACTTAGGTAGTAGGTACTGTTGTAAATGCTACTAGGCATCTATATGCACCTGTAACCACTTGGGACCCGATTTCTAAAGGTATTCCAAGTTGGAATTTTCAAAATCCTCTAAGTACATACAAGTATCAGAGGGGTAGCCGTGTTAGTCTGAGTCTGTAAAAAGCAACAGAGGGTCCTGTGGCACCTTTAAGACTAACAGAAGTATTGGGAGCATAAGCTTTCGTGGGTAAGAACCTCACTTCTTCAGATGCTAAGTACATACATACTCTGTAGCTCTGGCCTTTAGTTGCTTTTGAAAATCCCACACTTCAGTCTTGTATGTTTCATTAGCAATAAGTGATGCAGCAAGCAGGCAGGTTTGTAGGGAACAGCTATTTATTGACTCATCATGTCATTCTTGGATATTTCAGTCAAAACTCATGAAACTATTTCTTCTTGAAGCATAGTCACAGAAATTATTTGCGGGAACACACACACTCCAACAACATATTACATTCAAATAATGATGTGACCATCCATCCATCCATCCATCCATCCATTCTTTTCTACTAAAAGTATGTGCAGAGAGATCTTATTAATAGACTGAAATCCATGTAGTTTGTTTAAATTAGTAAGAGAAGTCTAAAATACATCAAAAGCCCACTCTCTGTAAAGTGGAAAAATACAATGCCACTCCCTAACATCCTGGTGTCACAGTGGGGTGGTAGTATTTATTTGCAGCACAGTAATAAATGGCGGTGTCTTCAGTGGTCAGTGCATTCAACATGAGATAATACTCATTTCTGTGTCCCTAGATATGAGTAATCAGTTTTGGAACTATGGAGAAGGGTGTGAAGCACCTCCTCCATTAAGGTGTCCAATCCATTCCAGCTGTCTCTGTTGAGTCCGACAGACACATCCCCAGTCATAAGAATCAATGATGGGGACACCAGCCACAGCGCAGGTCAGCTGGAGTGACCTTAAAGGTTTCAGAACCAGTAGCCTGATTGCAACCATGGCTGTGTCAATTGCACCTAAGAAAGGACACCTGGGAAGAACAGGGGTGGGAGAGTTCAAAGCACAAGCAACCACATACAAAAAAGAAGGAATCCATCACCCAAAAAGATGGTGTTAGACAAATAACTACGTCCCACTGCCTCCTATCAAAACTCACAGGGCCACAGGATGAGTAGGACGAGAGAAATGATCAAAGCTTTCATCATTCTTTTATGGGAAGATTTAACAAGAATGATAGAATTCAGATGGACAAAAACCTCTGGGGGTTTCTATTTAAACAAGAAACCCAGATGGATGATTTGCATGACGTGTACATGCTTCAGTGGCAGATATAAAAACAACCAAGTGGTTATTTTGTCGCTACCTCTCTCCTCCCCTTTCTGTTCTTTCGGGG